GAAAATGTGTAAATTTTGTACCCGTGGCAAGGAAAATTTTTTTTTTTTTTTTTTTTTTTTGCAGTGCTGCTGGCACCTCACAGAAGCTCCACTAGTCGACGCACCCTCATCAGACCGGTTTCAACGGACCTGCAACAGCATTAAGGGGGTTTCTTGCAGAAATCCATAGAGAAGCTTGTAGCAATGACCAGTGCTTGTGGGCTGGATGCCTTTGCAATTGTGGGATCAGTTCTGCGCAGGTCTCCATGGAAGCGTCCTTCTGCATCCAGAAGTTTCTGCCATTCCAGGTCTGCAAGACAGTCATTCACACACCATCCACAGAGTTAAACTCTTGTGAGTGCAGAGGGAATACTTCTGGAGGAACCCCTCCCCTTCCATCATCTCAGCCTTAGCGTGCACTTCAGAGGTGCCGCCTGGTACATGCACCCAAAGCAAGTGTAAGCTCCCTGTATTTAGGAGCGTAAGGGAACTGGTCACGTGAGAGCCTAAAGCCCTTGCAATATAGCATGTGCTATGTGCTATGTGCCGTCTTTCCCTCTGAATTGGGGTAGACCATACCAAATATGAAGTTTACTCCGGGTTTACACCAGTTTACCTGTTTTTTGAATTAATGTGTCACAAAAACCCTTGGAGAGCAGATAGGGAAGTTTCACTGTGTATGTCCCAAAGCACAGAAGTGCCACAGATACACTTTTTGCTCATAGAGCATTAACAAAAAAAGTTATTTTTTTCTAATAATTTATAATAGAGCTCGTGTTCAGAATATTGTGTTTTATCAAAAAGAGGTGATCACGACAAGCTTATTTAAACTGGAAAAAATAAAATAAGCTCTTCAGACTTCTCTAATCTTTCAGATGACTGAAAAAATACTAAAACTCCCCAAACCATACGGTTGAATCAGCAACGTCCAAATTCATTAAAATGCCAGTCTTTGGGTAAAAACCACAAGAAGTCAGTAATAACTGTAGGTCGTTCTTGAATTCCCTAAGACCCCTTCAGCAGCAGCGGCCACTGCGTGACATCTGGTGGCCACAAGCCAGCGCAGCAAGAACATCGCACCTCCGAAATCGCAGCGTGTGCCATCCGCACCAGGTGACGACACACTTTTATCGGTTTCCTTTCAAATGTTAGCTGCCGAAACACCAGCTGTAATACATTTGCTACAGCTGTACGTCTTGCCACAGAAGAACCCCGCTTTGACAACTGCGAGCGTGTGACACACGCTAGCAAGGAAGCTACGATACAGGTCTTCCTTGGAATTACGATGTTCCCTCCCACCTGAAAAGTGCTGTCCTTCCTCTTCACTCCTACAGCTGTAGGACATCGAGGTGGGGATTTGCAGGGCGACGGAACTGCAGGAGGTGTTCTTTAAAATGCAGAGATGGAAGCCACTCTGAGCTTGCACCCATCGGGCCAAGAAAAACCGATCCGGAACGATGCTTCGGCGCGCAAGAGATGTCCCCGCCGGCAGCGCATACTCCTCACCCTCCCGTGATCACGGTGTAAAATCATGGCGTAGAAAGTCTACCGCATAAAGCACAGGAAAAGAGGAGAGCGAGCTTCAGTGGTTAGATTGTGCCCCAAG